CGTATCGCTTAGCTTCATGCTCCTCGCATATTCACTTACGCGTTCACTCGCGCTTTTCTCTCTTTCTCTCTCTCTCTCTTTCTCTCTGCTCGTTCTTTATTGTATTCTTTCTTTCCCATTATTATATTCTCTTATTTATTCGACTTTTATTCTTTTTATTCTCGTCTTCCTACATAATAATAATTATTAATTTAATCATTAATTTATTCATCTTTATTTTATAGAGTATAAATGAGATATTGTGTATCTTATAAATAGAAAAAGTATTTAATTATGTGTATTTTTGTATGTACATGTGTTGTATTTCATTATAGTTAAATAGAAAAAGAAAATAACTTATTATGTATCTCATTTATGCTGTACAAAATAAAAATAAATAAATTTATTTTTATGTAGGGTATGGGTCAGCTGGTTAATGGGTGTAGTTTAACGTTACTCGTTTGCGTCGTTCGTAACCCGAAGTTATAATTAATCACATAGGTAGAGAAATGAATATTTTTATCATTGTAAAAATAATAATTTATTTGGTTCTCTCCATTTCCTTCTTACATTTGTAAATATTCTCCTTGTTAGAATTACGATTGCACATTTGGTTATTATTATTGAGTAGTCTTTTGCGCGCTTTTCCTCCTCGTCTCTTTGTCTGCGTCGCCGCGTTGACGCAGATTTTCTGAGGACTCGTCTGTGTGGCGATGCTTTCCTTCTGTGACGTCCTTTGCAGCGGCGAGATGAGGTGGGGAGTGTATCACCGAGTCGGAGGTGTGGTACTCCTTTCTCGTCCGATGTCCGGAGTGATTGGTTTCTGGTAATGTCCGAACCGGGATGCCCGAGGATGTCCTTTGGCGGGCTAGCACTGGTTGCCGGCGGGCTAGCGCTGGTTGCCGGCGGGCTAGCGCCAAACAGCGATTGCAGCCGTGCCTTGGTGTCCTTCTTCTTTTTCCCGGAGCTGTACGGGACGCGATCTTGAAGAGATTGCGATAGCGGGGCTCTTGGAGCCGGTTGTCCGACCTTGGTTGGTGGCGGACTGGCGCCGAGGATGAGGCGACTAACGTCGAGAGTCTGCAGCGGCTGAGCGCCGGATGCTGGAGACGACTGAGCGCCGCGTGTCCTGGGCGACCGAGCGCCGGATGATGGAGGCGACTGAGCGCCAATCTTTCTCCGTTTAGCGGAGGTAGGATGTAGCGGCGTCGGGCGAGTCTTGCGCCGCGTGATGATCTCGACCTCCGATAGCCGAGGTGTCGATGTTCCGCTCTGTACTCGAGGCGTGGTGAGAGTCTAAAGTCCGGCGTCTAGCGCCGAGAATTTCTCTTCTTGTTAAATGCTAGCGTCTAGCGCATTCTTCTGCCCCTTTTTGTTGTCCTTGTGTCCGCAGCGGGTCCGACTTATATTCCCGTCGGACCACTTTTCACTTTCAGGTTAGCCCGGGCGCCCTGCGCCGACTAGCGGCGCCGCCCGCACTACGCGCGGACACGCGAGTGCATGAGCTGCCATATTGCAGGTCGCGCTAATGTTTCGTAATTTGTGGTTGCCGCAGGCCGCCACATAGGGAGACGAGAATAGAAAGAATAAAAGTTAAGTAATATTCGACTGTGATTGGTCGATTTGCTTGCGACTGGCGACATGCGATCAATGTAGAACGGGCTTTAAGCATAATATAATCAGAGTTAACAATCTAAGGCCGGATTCACACTTTGGCAGAAAAGCAGAAAAGCAGAGGCCAATCAGAACTCGCGCTGAAAAAGCAGAATGTACTGCTTATTTTTAGCGCGAGTTCTGATTAACTTTTGCTTTTCTAACACGAGTTCTGATTGACTTCTGCTTTTCTGCTTTCTGCTTTTCTGCCAAGGTGTGAATCCGGCCTAAGTAAATGCATATATAGCAGAGAGAGAGAGAGAGAGAGAGAGAGAGAGAAGCGCGAGTGAACTCGTAAGTGAATATGCGAGGAGCATGAAACTGCTCTGTTTTATTCTTGAGCCTCGATCTCGCACACACACATATGCACGAAAGTTTTGCATAGTAAAATCTTTTTTATAAAGCTTCTAAACTCACTTCTCAAAGTTTATTAATACTCTTTGATAAAATGCCGAGTGCGGAGTCCACTTGTTACTACGTGCAGATTACAAATGTTTTATATTAAGTAAATGTTGACGGCAGAAGCCGATAACAAAACTGTAATTTTTTAATTTTTTGTCGTTGTGAAACATGTCATCCCTGTGTCGATAAAGCTCCTCGCTCACGGACGACGGTGTCAAATGCGACTGTTGTTGATTGCAAGAGCGCGCAAACCCGGATTCGCGGATGCCGTAATCGTCCGATAGACCGTTCTGGTGGTGATGGCCGTAAATGACGGAGCCGCTCTCGTATTCGTTCTCTTGATTCTTGTAGTCGTAATGATTGAAAGTCTGCGGGAACGAGGGCAACGGCGGCGGATTAGTTTGCGGCGGTAGCGTAGTGTATCTACCCTGCGACACTTGTAAATTGCCGGGCACCGGGAGAACGCCGGGTTCCGAATGCTGCTGACTCTGCCCACCACCGTTCCACGGTGTCGGTGACGGACTGAAGCTGTTGGTCACTCTGATGGGCGGAGTGGGTGGACTCTGCAGATTGCCCGAGCCGGCGCCGGAGCCGCCGCAATGATCCAGGTCGTTTTGAACGCTTCTCTTGCCGAGATGCGGACTGAACGGCACTTGCTGTTGTTGCTGTTGATGCGGATGCTGTAATTGGTGCTGTTGTTGTTGCATCCGGCCGGCGCCCATCGACGCGCTGAGCGGGGGCGGATGCTCAGGTGGTGGCGGTAACATGTCGCACCAGTTAGGCATTGGCATACCGGTTTGAGGCGCGTCGCTGCTCGTTGGTCCTGCTATTCTGTACTGCCTCCTTTGTATATCTAGGTTCTCGTCCGCGTAGGTAGCGTCGCCGCCACTCATGTTATCGCTACTCGGCGACACCGTGGATTTGTTGGGCTCCTGATTCGAGTCCAGACTCGAATAATCGGGTTTTAGGCACGAGTCGCTGGAGTTCGACTTCTGACAGCTGGTTTCGATTGAATCCGAATTACGACTGCCCACGCACAGAGTCGTGGTAGCATACGGCTCCGGTGGCGGTGCCTGCATTTGCTTGCGTGTGTTATAAAACGTTGTTAGATTCACTTCAGCGTACTCCGAGCCGGTCATGCCCATTATACCGGCTGCCAGCATATGCTGATTGTTGAGCAACTTGGTCTCGCAATCCTTGTCGTTGGCGGCTTGGAGAGTATTGGTAGGCCGCCAACCGCGCTCCAACCAGAGCGTGTCCTTGTTTAATTGACAGATATCGTTTGCGGTACCCACAGGCACGTTTAAGTGACCCAGTTGCTTGCTCATCGCTTGCCTGCGTCTCACGTATAACACAGCTAGCAACACGACGATACCGACGAATATCATCGTTATCATGAGCACAAGAAACCACGTTTCTCTGACGACGGACACACCCCCGTGACTGGGATCGGTTCGCGGCGGTAATTGCGTTAGTTGTCCCGGATCCATGTTCAACAGTGTCGGACTGGAGAAGGGACCGAGCCCGACGCGAGTTTGTCCAGCGACGCGTGCCGTATACAAACCGCCAGTAGTCAGACTGTTGATGATCACCGATGTGGTTGACGCATTCAGGGACATTTGACCCAAGATTTTGTTACTGCTGTTGCTCTTGATCTGAATCTAAATCGGGCGAATGAATCGATAGTTAAATTAAATAAAGAGATTAATTTTCGCGACATATCACTTGCGAAACTCTTACCTTGTAACCAATCAATTGACCGTTTTGAGTATTCTTCGGCGGCGGTGACCACCGAACGAACGCCGAGGTCATATTTATCATCCCTACGTGAACGTTCTCGGGAGCGCCCGAAGGTATGTCTTCCAGAGTAGTGACCAGCTTTACATTGCTCGGTCGACCCTCGATTATCTTGTAAAAGGGAACCAGGAAGAACTCGTATCGCGTATACTTTTTTAAGTTGGTAAGCACGTAACTGGTGGCGCCGGCGTTGAGTACCGTGACCATCTGATACTCTGGTTTCTCGGAAACCTCGCGATACCGTATATAAAGACCCTCCACTAAATCCGCCGCGCCGAGAATCTAAAATTTAGATTCTAGTATGTTATTCTAATTCTTGTTGTTGTTATTGGAACGTTTTCCAATTCCAATTGTCACGTCAGAATATATCTCAAATATATTTTCTCTCAGGAAAATTTTGTAAATATAGTTGGAGTTTTTTTACAAACAAAAAAGAATTGCAAGAAAGTTTAATATAATTTGTTAATACATTTTATATTTTTTATAAGAGAGTATGTGAGAGAGATGTTACATTAAGTACATGTTAAATTAAGTCTCCATTAAAATAAAACGCACCTAAAAAATAAACAAATATTTTTTTAATAGACAACTATAGTAATGTTTGTACACAGCCAAAGATTTATTTTTAGAAATTTTCGAGCTAGCGCAATTCCCGCGATACTCACGTACATTGTTGTGTTAAATCGATATAGACAGAACGACACAGGAAGTTTCAAACGATACTTACGTCCCACATAATCTTGACGCTGGTACTAGTCAACGGTTGCACCTCTTTGAGATGTAAAATCTCGCTGTTCAACCGATCTCTGGCGCGAGTCAGTTCCACTTGTGGTACCGTATGCTGATTTACGTTAGTAGTTTGCACTACGTCTGACAATGGTCCGGGCAGCGAGAGCCCGTGGCTATTTTCTGCCCGTACTAGGAAAACGTAATTGGTCTCCGGCCTTAAATCTGTCACCTGTTGATGAATAAAGCAGGGAACCCGACTCGTTAGCTCGATAATAAAAAAAAAAAAATGAAAAAATGTATTTAAACAATAAAAGGCAAATAATATAAAAAATAAAATGAAAACTATATTATACACAAATATATGTACGTTTCAGTACATTATTTACTGCTTGTTTATTGGTTACCAAATATTCATTTTTTATATTACGATACTTATCTTTGAAGAGACTAATTTATTCCCTTTTCAGGTTGCTCTCAAAGCGCTATATTGCCCGGCAACAAAGTTCAACGTATACGAGAGATGTCTGTTTGATATAGAATATTAAAGTATCTCTAGAAGTAGATGACCGCTTCTTTGTAGGATTAGGTGCCTCTCGGTCCTCTTATTAAATTGTAGTTCCAGCATACGTGGAACTTTGATATTAAATTTTTAAACACGATACAACGTGAACGCAATTTAGGTTTATAGATCCGTTCTTCAACCCACCGCACGTGGTGTTGCAAACTGTTTTCGTCAGCAGTCCACGCTCTAAACACACTTTCGAAGCGATACACGCGAAGCAAGGAGGGAAACTGAAAATATCTACTTGAAAAGATCGTTGAGACTCTGGAGTGTAAGCACTATAAGGAAAGGAGGTCAAGCGTCGCCGATTCTCGATAAAATACTCACGGTATAGATGTCGTCGAGGACACCCGTGGCTGCCACCACCCAGCCGGTGTTCAGGTTGCTGCTATAGTACTCGATATTGTAGCCGACGATCTTGCTCTGGCCCTCGTGGCCCGGGCTCCACGTCAGGGTGACCGAGTTACTGGTGGCGTTAACTATTCGCGGCTTGCTCGGATTCTGCGGCAGCGCCGACATGTCGGGCGTACGGTGAAAGCTGGCGCCGGAACTCACTGTCAGGTAGGCCGACCACGAGGTGTTGCCGGACCGTCCTGTTTTACCGGCCATAATAATTATGTATTTGCTTAATATAAGGGTTTTGCGGTGTGTACGTGTAAAATAGGATACCTCTCCACTCGGAAATGCATGAAGGAATATAAGTGAACGTTTGAAAATGTATTTGAAAGCCTAGTAAGAAACATTTCGGTGTGCAAAATGTTGCATAGTAAAATCTTTTTTATAAAGCTTCTAAACTCACTTCTCGAAGTTCACTAATACTTTTTGATAAAATGCCGAGTGCGGAGTTCACTTGTTAGGCACGTGCAGGTTGCAGGTTTTTTATATTAAGTAAATGTTGACTGCAGAAGCCGATAACAAAACTGTAATTTTTTAATTTTTTTTCACTTTTGATATGAAATCATAAACCCCGCACTCCGTTATTATGTATACTTTAATTATGGAAAAGGATTTGTTGATATCTATAATCTGTAACGATACCGTAACCAGCCTCGCGGGCCGACCAGCCGCCCGCAATTTTGAGGCTCGGCGCCTATGGCGCCCCTAAACTTCCAAACCCGTGTCGCGGCCCCACCGTGGGGCCGCCTCACCACGCGCCGACTCGCGTGAGTGGGAGGCCGGCCGCCGGTATATAAGGCGCTCCGGCGAGCGTAGCGTTA